AACATGACAGGTCTCGTAGAGGTCCCGATCTTTTTCCAGCTTCCTTATGTGTTTCAGCGCCTTAGGAAATGGAGGGAGTGGTTCATATGATGAAAGTGGAGGGAATTTAGTCTTCGTTGGTTCCTCCTTGTCCGGTTGAAAACCTTCTCCACGATCAACCTCCTTTTGAGCTTGCTTTTCTTCCTTATTCACCTCTTTCAATGTTGTCCTGTTTCTCATCATGATTGCATTAACATGTTGTCTCGGGTTTTGTTCCGTTTGAGATGAGAGTTTTGCCGAGTCTTTTGCCTCAAGTCGGCTCACAACATTCGAAATTTGGCTAACTTGAGTTTTCAAATTTTGAATGCTCGACTTTGTTTCTTGTTGAAATTGCAACACGTTTTGTTGCATGGTGCTTATACTAGTAACAAGAGTTCGTATCATGTTCTTCGTAGACATGTTGGACTTGGATCTTTGGCTTTGATTATTTGGGAAAGATTGTTGAAAGGGCTGGTTTTGTTGTGGTTAAGGGTTCCCATATCTCAAATTGGGAGGATCTCTCCATCCGGGGTTGTAAGTGTTAGAGTGTGGATCGTACCTCTTCTTGCTCTTCTTGTAATGAAGGTCAACGCCTTTGGAAACCCAAGACGTTGACTTGCTCTTCTTGTAATGAAGGGCATGAATCGGTAGGATGCCCTTGTGTTGCACAAATGCCACATGCCTTGACTTCTTGGGTTTTGGTATTTAAATGAAAATCTTTTACCAAAGAAGTCAAGCTGGCTACTTGACTCTCCAATGATGGGTTGGACTCTGCTGCGGAAACTCTTCGGGTTGAGGACCGCCCATTGTAATGTCTAGAATTCTCGGCCAACTCCGAGATGGAATTCCTTGCTTGAGAAGGGGTTTTGTTGACAATCCCTCTTCCACATGCCGCATTTACCATGTGTCTATCGTGATCCGCAAGACCATCATAGAAGTAGAGGATGAGGTCTTGAAGATGAGCCTCATAAATACCTTAGCCCTTTCCCTTGTGCCAACCCAATCCCAAAAACCCTTCCCTGGGCGGCCCGCAACCCAACTCCCCGAAAGCCAAAACGCCAAGATCCCAAGAAGCAGTCCTTCTCGCGAGCAATAAAGGCAAAATTGACCTTCCCGGTTATGGGAATATTTTTGGAGAAGAAAAGAAAAGAAAAATGCAGGTTTTGTGCAGCTGGAGAAATACTCGATCGGGTACACTCGAAAGTAATTATTAAGTGGATCTCAATAGTCCACGCTGATTCCCTTCGCCGAAATAAGGAAGACCTTGTTATCCAAACAAGGTCTTCCTAGTATGAAGCTCACAAATTAGAATATTACACTTTCTAAAATAAATTAAAAAAAACATTACAAATTAGTTTTTGGCTTTTATACGTTTAATTTAAGCAATTTTTTTCACTTAGAAATAGTTTTTTCAGCTTTTTTAAGTCGGTGAATTCCATCAAAAAAAGTCGGTGAAAATATTTTTTGTTTTTGCAAACATACCTTATTAAATTACGTTTTATATTTTGTTTACCCTCTCGAAATTGATCAATTTCATATTGTCCGATCTGTTTAGATCTCCTCCCACTCCCAATTGAAAGGGGTACAACTAAAAGTGTCTAATAATCGAAGATAAGCGTGCTCCATTAGGCTATTAGGCTTCCCTTCGAGTTCGGCAGTCATATTATAGCTATTTGCCGCTCTTCTTCTTCCATGACAAATTGACACAGACGTCCAGTGGTCAAGGTATTTCCTTTTCCGTGCTGCATCTTCAATTGTAGCTGCTTCAACTTCCATCCTTTTCTTAATTTGTCATTAAATATTACATCTTGTTTACATTATTCAGATATTAGCAGCAATTGTTGAATGATTTTTTAAGATGGTGGAAAGGCCAAACGTGAACCACTACTAGTCTCGGGTAATGCTGAATTCGGCTGAATCAACCACGGTCGATTCTGCTTAAATTTATGAAGTTCAAGTTCTGGCTGAAGTTGATGTATGAGCTGATTCGGCTTATTTATGAAAAATATTATATTTAAAATATAGGGAAAAGTACGGAAAAGGTACTCGTGGTTGGACTTGTTTTCAGATAGAGTCATGTGTTTCTTTCTTTATCAAAGTGGTTCAAACGTTTGAATTCCGTTATCACAAGAGGGTCACGGGTCACGCCGTTAAAAATGTCTGAAAAAGACCGTTAAAAGTAACTCCGATTTTCAACAGTGACTGGAAAATTAAAAGAAAGATACCGAAAGGTGCGTCTCGTCAAGATGAACTCCAAACTACCTTCGCCTTTGGATTTTCAGATCTGTTTGAATTATTTTTTAAAAATGATTTCGCTAATATCACTTTTCTGGTGGACTTTCCAGTGATAAAGGTGGCTGAAAACAAAAAAGAAAGATGACCTAGCAGTCATCTTATTGAGGCACATCTTCCGATATTTTTCTTTTAATTTTTCGAACACTTTTGAAATTCGGAGTTACTTTTAACGGTCTTTTTCAGACGTTTTTAACGGCGTGATCCTCTTGTGATAACGGAATTCAAACACATGAACCACTTTGATAAAGAATGAAACACATGACCCTATCTGAAAACGGGCCCAACCACAAGTACCTTTTCTGTACTTTTCCCTAAAATATATTATATAAATAAAATAGAAAAAATTATATGAAAAATAGGTAAAAACTAAAAAGTAACTACTTTTTGTTATTATTACACGTTTCGGCGCGCGAAATCAAAATTATGTGTTTGGTTAAAAAGTTGACTGATAAGTCCATAAGCCTATGTTTTCAAGATGGGTATGAAACACCACTTTACAGAATATGTTTTCACATTTCAGACAAGTATTTGACTTTTTTCTGTTTAGTTTGTTTTTTTATTTCACGATTTATGTATGGTTAGAGAAATGCTAACAATAACCTTTGTGTTTAACAGTCTAAGTATACAATAATAATTCCATTTGTACTTTGTTTTGTTGTTTAATTAAAATTGGTGTTTTCATGAAATTATAAATGATAATGTGTATATCATTTGTAATTTTTCAGAAACGTTCCCGTTTTAAATGACTTATGGCGTGCTTTGGTGATTTAATTTTAGTTGGATTGTTAAATTTGAAGAGTTCTTGGATTATATAGTTGATTAATGAAAATAACAACCACAACATTACCCTAGTGCCCCAAAGGCTCCCACCTATGGTGGGGTAATGGGGTTGGATGTAAGCAGCCTTACCCCTATACGAAAGCACAAAGAGACTATTTCGTGATGAAAATCGCGTAAAAAATTGCATAAACTGACTGCCGTTTCATACTCTCTCTGTCCCATTTTAAGGTTCCCACTTTCCTCTTTTGGACATCCCATAGAAAGGTTCTCATTTCTATTGTAGGAAATAATTAAGACTCTTAAATGTAGATTTAATCATCAAATATTAAAAATAATATATCTATAACATCTAACTTATCATCGAAATAATATATCTATAACATCTAATCTAAGTTATCATTATATTATATATCCATCAAAATTATTTAACAAAATATACTTGGATTACCTTTTTTAATTATTGTCTAAATAACAGTGCTATTTTGCAATGTGAACCGTTTACTGGGACGGAAGTAGTAACAAAGAAGCACAGACAATTTAGTTAGTCATTTTGCTTTATACCATCATATTCCCAAGCCCAAAAATAATGAGTCTTTGGCTCCATTGGAAATGATGGAACAAGTTAATTTATGAAAAATGAAAGACATTCTTCTGTCATTAATATTGAAACATCGTCCTATTGTTAGAAGGACCTATTTTTTATAATAGACATCCATAGGAAAACCAATTTTTAGCACTTTTAAAATGATACATGTAGTCATGTACTCCTGTGCTTTGATTTGTTAGTATTTATATAATAGAAATGCTCTCTTTGTTCAAATAGTTTTTTTTTCTTTTTCGTCTTGCCAAAATTATCTTCACCTTCCTTAAAATGATTTTTTATGATTATATGGTTTATCAACTTTATCTCTCCTCAAAACAAAATGTCAGCCACCCAATTGCCACTTTCTGAAAACAGTACCACGTTAAAAGGAAAATAAGGGGCTGCCGGAACATATTGATAATAAAACGAGTTTAAACAATTATCCATGGTAACTTTTAGTTCCTATTTCTTCTCCCTCAAGTTTAATAGCATCCAAATTTCTCACTCCCTAGATTTCATGGTTCCAACTTTCCAATTCTCTTATTTTACTAAGAAAAATTGCTGTTCAAATACATAATCCCTAATTTACCATTTCCTTAGGGATTGGATATGCTCTGTGAAATTATGTTATGATGATGATTTAACTGTACCTGCATTTGCTTTCCTTGTCCAGGGTATGGATTTGGATGAACAGAATTCTTTGTCAACTATGGATCCTTCTTCTACACTCACTGATAATCAAAGCATGGTTTCATCTATTGATGCAATTTCACATCCACCAATACAACCACTTGTAGCACCCGGGGTTTTACCTCCTCCAGTTGCTCCACCTCTGGCACCTCTCCCTGTTCGACCGCCGGCACTTAAGCCTCCTTCAACGGTGCAAAACGGAGATGAACACACTAGCGATTCAGATTGTGACCATGATGAATCAGGTGCTGGAATGGTTGAACCTGCTCAAGAGTACGAGATATCTGAAGAAAGCAGACTGGTGAGAGAGAGACAAGAAAAAGCGATGCAAGAGCTTCTGCTGAAGCGAAGAGCTGCTGCTCTAGCGGTCCCCACAAATGACATGGCTGTTCGAGCTCGTCTTCGCCGGCTCGGTGAGCCCATAACCTTTTTTGGGGAAAGGGAGATGGAGAGACGGGACCGACTGAGGGCACTTATGGCGAGACTTGATTCAGAAGGGCATCTGGAAAGGCTGATGAAAGCTCACGAGGATGAAGAAGCTTTTTCGGCTTCTGCTGGACCCACTGAAGATGATGATGAGATTCAATACCCGTTTTATACTGAAGGATCAAAAGCGCTTTTAGATGCTCGGCTGGAGATCGCAAAGTATTCTATTGTGAAGTCAGCTTCACGTCTTGATCGTGCTAGGAGAAAAAGGGATGATCCTGATGAAGATTTGGATGCTGAAGTGGATTCAGCTTTAAACCAAGCAGGAACTCTAGTTCTTGATTGCAGTGAGATTGGAGATGATCGTCCGCTTTCTGGTTGCTCACTGTCACATGATGGCGAGATGCTTGCCACATGGTAATACCTTCTCTGTAAGAGTGTGTTTTCTGATGCATATATATAATGAGAACATCTTTATTAATTTGAACTTTTCCAGTCAATGGCTAATATTAAAGATAATTGGAAAAGAAAACCTTATTGAAAAAAAATAAAAGGTAGAGAATAAAAGTTCTCATAGCAAAGGAGCGTGTGTGTATAAAAGGTGTTCTCTTGATAAGATGGGTTCTCACTTGAACCCTATTTTATGAGCGTGTGTGTATTTTTACGTGTATATGTATGTATTTATGTGTGTATCTTAATAGATAATTAAATACTGCCTCCGTCCTTACTTCCCAAGTTTGACTTGGCATGGTTATTAATAAGAAAGTAAATTTGTATGGTTGCAGTTGATGCTGAAAGGATATATACACACACACACACACACACACACACACACACACACACACACACATATAGGGTTCTTTTCGGTGAGAACACTCCTTAATGTGAGAAATGAGAACACTCCAAAACGATGCACATTATGGTTCACGAAAATGCACATTTATAGTTGAAGTAATGCAAAATTTCAAACTGCAGTTCTGCACATTTACGTTTAAACTTTTGCATAGTTGAAATGCACATTTTCCAATTTTTAATATGCACGTTTCTGTTTTACATGATGCACAATACAGAATCATTCTCACTTCTCTCCTTAGGTCATGTTCTCATATGATCCCTACTATATGTATATATATGTATGTGTATATATATAGCAACCTCACAAAGCATTCTTTAAAAGGTAATAGGGAGACCATTTTGGGATGGCGGTAGTGTGTGTGGGTCTGTATAAAGCTCCAGTGCAATGGGAGAATTCTTTGTGCTAAACTGCTACGATCATGTTTTTGGCTTTTGGAATTTCTGGTCTACTCTATGCACATGCAGTTATTTTTTCGTTGTACACTTTTTTATACTATAAGCATGTGGCTATGATTTGGTTATGAAATAGTTCTGTTGTCGTTTCCACTTTATGATAGATAATATGGTCACATGCACTCTCCCCATCCCAACAAGAGTCCGATGCTAGTATGGTATACCTTTTTATATTTAGTCAACTAAATCAAGGTGAAGCTTTTGCAAAAATTATGAAATGGTCACATGGGCCTCTAAAAACTTATTCTCAAGTGTTTGAGTAATTGAGTAGAACTGCTTGCTGCTTGGATTTGCAGGAATATTACTTCAAAAATAAAAGTTCTTAAACTGGACTGTTTTCTTGGGATAAAAAAGTTTGGGAGGCGACTCTTTTGTATTGGGATGGAGGAAACACTTGCTTCTTTTACTTTAGACCCTCCTTCATTCTTAAGTGAATGCTATTACTTATATTCATAGATGTCACATTTGGCTTTCTTTTGAACTGACGATTTAAAAGATATCTTTTTATACCATCTTTTTGTAAGTTGATGTTGTCTGTTGTTCTGAAATTCCTCCATAATCCAACAACTGAAATACACTTTTAAATGCTATCAAGACTAAACTAGGCTTCCATTCATTGTATTATAGTTCCCCTAATCTCTCTTTCTCTCTAGAGTCTGAATTTTCTTAGATGTGCATATCTTTAGAATCCTTCAACAGCTTGCTGATTATTTCTGTAATCTTTGTATATGTATAGTTCTCTAAGTGGAGTAGCAAAGCTATGGAGCATGCCTCATGTAAAGAAGGTTTCTACCCTTAAGGGACATCATGAGCGAGCTACTGATGTTGCATTCTCTCCAACATGCAATCATCTAGCTACTGCCTCTGCTGACCGAACGGCAAGATTGTGGAATACAGAAGGGTCTCTTTTGAGGACTTTTGAGGGCCATTTGGATCGTCTAGCACGGATTGCCTTCCATCCAACTGGAAAATACTTGGGCACAACTAGCTTTGACAAGACATGGCGTTTATGGGATGTGGAAACCGGTGAAGAGTTGCTTCTTCAGGAAGGACACAGTAGGAGTGTGTATGGACTATCTTTTCACCATGATGGCTCCTTGGCTGCATCTTGTGGACTAGACTCACTTGCCCGTGTTTGGGATCTTAGGACAGGAAGAAGTGTTCTTGCTTTTGAAGGCCATGTTAAACCTGTAAGTTTTTTACTATCTGTATGTTTTGATCACCGGAAATGCCACTATAGGAAGTTATATGCTGACAATAATCATTTTCTTATTTTTATTTGTCTTTTACAATTCAAAGGAAATGAAATATATATATTTTTTTTACATATATTCAGATTTCTTAGAGCCTATTTGGCAACATTAATTTTCTTGTTCTTATCAGCATAATAATTACAATAAGTACAGCATTTATTTGGCTGAAATCAAATTCAGTGAATGCCTTTCCTTTCATAAAATCCAGCGGTTTCAACTATTTTAGCCAAATAATCCTTAGCAAACAAGAACTGATTTCTGTATGTATGCATAGATAAAATAAATTGAGTATAAAAAAATCTAAAAGAATATGCATTCAGTTTTAGCATATCTTTTATCTCCCCACATTATCTTTCAATATAATTTCCATCATTTGCAATGGAGCCAAAGATTCATTATTTGTTGGCTTGAGAATATGATGGAATAAAGCAAAATGGCTCACCAAACTGTCTGCACTTCTTTATTATGAAGCAACAGTCAGTCCATGCAATTTTGGACGCGGTTTTCATTATGGGTCATCCGGAAACAGTCTTTTTGTGCTTTAGTACAGGGGTAAGACTGCGTACATCCGACCTCCCCTTATCCCACTGTAGGTGGGAGCCTTTGCAGCACTGGGGTAAATGATGATTGAAATGATGATATTCTCTTTCAATATAATTTGCATATAGTCTGTTTCCTGTTTTTTCTATCATTTTCCAAGTGCCAAACAAGCCATTGGTGGATGTTTTTTCTTTTTTCCTTTCATTTGATTTTCGTTTTACTGCATTTAGGCAAAAGATAATACTTTGTGATTTATGACAAGTAACAATCTATTTTAATGATGGTTTCAGGTTCTTGGTATCAGTTTTTCTCCAAATGGGTACCATTTAGCTACTGGCGGTGAAGACAATACTTGCCGAATTTGGGATCTGAGGAAGAGAAAATCTCTCTACACTATACCTGCCCACTCAAATCTCATATCCCAAGTTAAATTTGAACCTCAAGAAGGATACTTTTTGGTGACGGCTTCATATGATATGACTGCGAAGGTATGTCAGCTGTGTAAATTTGGTTCGGTTTGCTGCTCTCATTCTTTGAACACTTAAAATTTGCACTTGGTTTCAGGTGTGGTCATCAAGAGACTTTAAGCCTGTTAAGACGCTAACTGGACACGAAGCCAAAGTTACTTCATTGGATGTTATGGCAGGTTAGATTTATCTATATTCAAAGCTAATTATACATTTTTTTGTGTTTTAAGAATCCTTTTGGTAAGACCTAAAATGGTTGAAGGGGCTAAATCAGTTGAAGTTGTGGCTGAACCGACTAAATTTAGATCATTTTTGTAGCATCATGCTTGTCCCAAGCTAGGACAAAGGAGTAGGGTGTTGTGGTAGCCACGTGACAACCACCGTATAACTTAGTCACATCACATGACATGAATCGAAATATATTTCAAATAAATTGAAGAAAATAATATCTAAAATTGAAGGCTTTTCATTTTAATTATTTTTGGCGTAAAAAGTAACTTATGCCTAAATATCATTGGATTATCAGCTGATTCAGCTTGGGTAGTAAAATAAGTTAGCCTGGTGAAAATCAAGCTCCTCATGGTGATGCAAGTGTTGTCATCTTAACATCCTTGGGTAACTAGCAAAACATTTTGTCAAGACTGATATGACCTACTGAGTCTTCGGTAAAGTCCACGCCTACCCGTTATTGATCACCACCTAGATGCAATACTGCCTTAGTGTCTAGTCTGTTTCTCACTTAGGCCCCGCCTGATTTCACTTAAGTCCTGTCTGACTCCCATTTGATCTCAAGTAGGTTCTAGGCCCCACTTTGCTCCATCACTGGTGTCAGATGGCCACAATGTGTAGCTAAACTCCTAACGTTTGGCCTTGGGTGCAAATAGTTCAATACGCCCTTGAGGTGCAAATGCACATCTGCTTAAGTACATATAAGAAATTAAACAGTGGTAAACAAATACATGGTTGCCTTCTGTTTCTGAAATTCAACGAACTTTAGCAAATAAAAATGGTTGGTGACTTGGTGTTGCCTTGTTGCCTCATAAGAATTAAACAACAATATAGGATCCACCTAAAAAGCCAGCATAAGAAGATTCTCTGAAAGAGCAGTGAAGCATGGTAAAAATTTGTTGATCGCGTAGTTTTTCTGTTTGCTTGCCTTTCCTCAACTCGGGTTCTTTTTCGCACTTCTCCAATACAAAGCTTTAATTTGGTCTATAGTTGTTTTGTTCGGGTTAAGGAGTTGACATAGGAAAAAATAAAAGGGAAGAGTGAATTGAAAGAGGTATAAGAAATGCATCAGAAAGCTCTTGTTTATGATGTGAGTACCAAGTTATAATTGAAATTATTGATTTAATAAGCATGATAACGCTGCTGGGTTGGTAGGACAAAATTATTGATATAAATGGTTAACATCCGCTTAAAAGGACAACAAATAAATGTATTCTTATACAATTAACAGCCGAGAAAAGCTAGAGAACGGAAAGGGAGTGTCATCATCATCATCATTACCCTGGTGCCGCAAAAGCTCCCACTTACGGTGGGGTAAGGGGGGTTGGATGTACACACTCTTACCCCTATACTAAAGCACAGAGAGACTGTTTCCGGATGACCAATGTGAAAATCGCGTTGGAAATTACATGAGCTGACCGAGGCTTCATAATAAAGAAGCGCAGGCAGTTTAATGAGTCATTTTGCTTTAGTCCATCATATTCACAAGTCAAAAAATAGAGAAACTCAGATATATTTTCTAATGTTTGGATTTAACTCGGCAAGTACAAAGGAAAATAAAACATGATTATATACTTTAATTATTTTGACATAATATTAGATTGCTCCGTACTTATATGATACATACAAGGAAAATTTTTCGAAATAGGAGTAAAAACGTTTTAGAATTCCAAAATAGGACTGTCATGTTTTTATTTCCTAAATAGGAGTAATTATCATCAAGCTTGGAAAATAAAGCCATGTTTAAAGCCTGGTTATGCTAAAAGCATGAGAATCCCATTTTGGAATTCACAAACAATTTTATTCCTATTTAGGGCAATTTCTTTACAAACAAATAAATGCAAATGAATTCTCTTAAAATGGTCTACTTTCCAAAATATTTTAGTTATCCCAAATTTCTCCTCTATACGTTCCCCCTTCATTGCTTTCCCTAGCATTTTGTGTGTTTTAAATAAAGCAAAAGGGTCTGTTTGCACGCGAGACCAAATGTTTGGCATGTATTTGCTCCATTGACCTACATATTTTTTTTTATATTTAATCATTCGTGTTTTTTTGTGTGTAGATGGACAATTCATTGCTACGGTTTCACACGATAGGACAATCAAGCTATGGTCTAGCAAAAGCAATGAAAAAGAGAAGGCGATGGATATTGACTACTAATTTAGTAAATTTTGCAGAGATGTATTGGAAGTCATTGAATTTGTCAATGACTGATGAGAAAAAAAGAATTTTTAAATGTATCGCACCCACTTGAACCCTTCATGAGCTGTAACGCCCCGATTTGGGTCCTGCATGGTCGTCACCCTAAGATAAGGACGGTGAGGAAAGTGGTGGTGGTGGCCGGTGGGGAGCAGGATGCGGGGTTCGAATTCAATAATTAGCATTTGTTGTACAATTGATCTTCTTGTGGATTATGGCATGGTAATTGAAGAATGCAGCAGTGACCACACAACATCATCTAAGGCTTAAAAGAATGCGCAGAGATTGGAAATGCTTGGATTTGATTAATTAGGAGTTTAAACGTGTGCTCCGCAATGCTACTCTGACATTATTTTTGTTATTAGTATTGAGTTTTTGGCACGCTAAATTGAAAGTGGGCAAACTAATATCTTGAGGTTCAAAATTTAGGGTGTGTTCTGTGTCGACGAAGTTTTGCAATGAATGGAATAAAATTTAAGGCCTGGTACTGGCACGGGATTCTATCGGAACCGGTCCAGGCCGGGTCAATTTTTTGTTTTTCTAATTTATTCCCACCCCCCGCCCGCCCAAAACACCCAGCCCAACCCACCTAGCATAGGCCCAACCCCCCCCCCCCCCCCCAAAAAAAATGGCATGGATTGGTCCCGGACCGGCCGGTTCCCTTTTTTCATGACCCGTAGCCCGCCTCTAAAACCCACTGGTTCGGGCCTAGTGGACCGGTCCTGGTCCCGGTTGGCGGGCTGGGCCAGTCGAACCGGTCGATGCCTAGTTTGTACTGATGATGCTAATTTTAAAATTTTGTTTATAAAAAGTTTAGGTTACAAAATAGCAGAAAATCAATACCTAGTAAGTGGTGACCAACTTTGAATTGAATTTTTCAGTAAACTTTAATCTTGTGCATGATATTGGTGAAATCGTGAGTGTATTACAATTACGATCTCTATACATTCATAAAAATAGTTCAACCAGCAATTCTCTTCGTGCAAATATATAGGTTAAATTTAATGAGAGTTATGAGACTGACGCTTGAGTTATTCCATCCAAGCTTTACAGTTTCTTAAAGAGAAGCTCGGGACAATGATCTCAATTGTCAACCACTGCACAAGATTATCCCCTGTCTCAAAGCTCAATTAGTTTTTTTTTAAGATGCCATATATCAAGGAAAAAATGGCACAGATATACGTACCGGGCTTTTGATTTCTAATAAGATAAAAAGTTTTAGTTTTTCCACAAATGTGACCCCGTAGATACCGCTTGTCCGCTCCTTACCATTTCATTTGTTCCTTGGAAGTTCATCATTCCTTCGCTTTTTCTTCGCATCTCTGCTATGTCGTCACCCACGCCCGTCTCTGCATCGCCGACATCCTACCGCTACCGCCGCCTCCCTATATTCGTCGCATTGAAGTTGCGCTGCCGCCGCTGCAAGGTTTGTTGTCTTCTTCACCTTTCTGTGGCCGAGAAAACGATGGTGACGACGTTCAGATCTGGACCACCATGGACGATGTGATACAGCCAGACGCTGGTCGAAGGAGCTTTGACCTAATCGATGGATCTAAGAGGCGATTCAGATCTGGATCTGGAATGACGGCGGCGGCTAGGATGCAGAAGTGCGGATTGGGGGCTGGATTGGGCTAGTCGGAGTAGGAGTGGGGCTATGGTGCGGCGTTGTTTGGACCGGGGCTGTAGTGCGGCGTTGTTGGAGCAGGGCTGTGGACGTGTGATGCGTTGTTGCTGGGCAGGGCCATGGGGTTGGGGAGATGAGACGGGCCAGGGAGATGGGGTGGGGGGAGCGGTGGTTAGGATAGGCGATGGGGAGGTGGCTGAGGGCTGGGGAGGTGACTGCAGTAGGGCGTTGGGCGGTGGCGGCGGTCTGCGGTGATGGTAGGCGGTGGCGCTAGGGCGGAGTAGGCTAGGGACAAGGATGAGGGGCAGGGGAGGGATGGGACATGTTACACCAATGACGGCGTGTCACTTTGATCGGAGTTGGGCAGTCACTGTGGCTGGTGGGCAATCACTGTGGCCGGTGGGCAGTCACTGTGGCCGGTGGGCAGTCACTATGGCTGGTGGGCAGTCACTGTGGCCGGTCGGCAGTCACTGTGGCCGGTGGGCAGTCACTTTGACCGAAGTCACTGTGGTTGGTAGGACAGTCACTGTGGCTGGTAGAGTCAGTGTGGCCTGAGCAAGTCACTGAGCGGCGGTCACTATGACCGGAGCAAGTCACTGGGTGGTGATGGTTCGGCAAGACTGCTAGCGGTGCCGGTGGTAACCGTGACCGTTGAGGAACTTTTTCCTATTTTTAATTTTTTTAGTATTAAAATTTGTTTATGGGCTTTTAGTTATACATGGTGTTAAGTAAATTGGGGTTGAACGGATTAATTGCCTTGTTCCTGAATGCAACGGTTTGATATATAACTGACAAGTCATATTTTTGGATTTTTGAAACTTAACTCACTTTATTGGGAATCCCTTAATTAATAGTAATATTTGAATAAAAAGGCCTATATCAAGATGTGAAAACCACATGAGAATATATTAACAATATCATACTTTATTTGATTATGTATTTATTTCCTGCATGAATTTAATGTCATGTCAAATATTTGAAATCAAATTTCCTAAGAGTCGTAAACATTTTGAGGAGTTTGTCTACTGTTGTGAATATCTCCTTTTTGAGTGACCTGCGCAGTCCTCTCTAGTGCGAGGTTCTAGTTAGCGGGGTCACACCTTGGTTCTTGTTTGTGTTGGTATCTTTGAGTGCGATTTAGTATCTACTAATTAAATGCTACTTGTGTTTGACTCAATTTATGATCTAATATTGGCGTAAATGTGTCAGCCAGCCCTATATACCAAATATAAATTGGTCTGAGGTTATTTAATTATTTATCGGGTTTGCTGATCCATTAACGTCAGTATTAGGTAATTAATCGGGTCAAATCCATGTATCATTTAATCAATGAATATATTGTAAACGCCTGTAAATAGGTCATCAACTCTTTGTAATTCGAACGCACTTACATTATTTTACTATACTGAATTGTTATTGCTTTTTCTTTCTAAATTATTTTCTACCAACGGTTAGAATTGGTTGATGATGATATGGGTGAGAAATTCGATCATGAAGGTAGAGGCAACACTAGTAGTAGGTGATACTAGTAGTGAGATGAGAATGACATTATCACATATGGTAGGTGACAATATACATTAGTAGGGGTAATGATATTGCTAGTGAGCACCTTCATTAATTGATAAATTTATAAGTTTTTTACTATTTTGAAAGAAAAACCGCTTATATTAATATTAATAGGATTAATATTACCACTCAAAGAGACCAACACTGATAACAACTATCCATAATCAACTAGCACTATCAACCCTACGGCTAGAATCAGAAACGATCACCACTCAAATAGCAATACGAATCGCTAACCACTAAAGGGGTGTGACACATTAATCATTGACCATATAGATTCTTCTAAAGATATAAATCTAGCAGAGTTGCCAATCATTATTGTAGACCTAAAACTAAAGAAATCAACTAAAAATAGAGCAACGTAAACAAACTTAACAAGACAGTAAGATCATTACAAATAAAATAACTGATAAATACTCCAAGCTCCTTCATGTCAGTGTTCATGAAGTATTATCTTCCAAACCCTAGCACCTTGATCGATCCAGGGCGGCAGTTCAGGAGGGGGCAGATCACCAATCTGTCTTCTCCCTTGCTGAGGACTCGATCCAGAAATTGGCCCCTTTGATCACCCCCAATCGCCTCCACCCTGAGCTGAAATTCATCCAAACAAGACCCACCCAATCTAGTCGCCCCATCCATTTGTCCTACGCGCCCATCACAGTCCCAATCGCCTCCCTCTAACAATCAAGTTGAGTGGAACAGACCAGACAATTTTCCAATCGAAGGTATCAATCACAGACCTTCAGATTCGGTCCATAGTCCCACGTCCAGAAGCATCAACCATAGATAAGCAGATCATGACGAGGCAGAGCATGGTAATGGTCGCTCTCCCACTGTCTTCAAATCATTCGTCGGACAAGAAACGACGCAAGCCATCAATCGGAAAGATGAACCATAGCAGAAAGCTAGGGAGAATACATCTCTACATTGTACATTCGGTTGTTAGTAATACATAACTAGTATTTTTTAACTTCTATTAGAAAAATGATGTTAAAAAAACATCTAAATTAAACAAAATATACCTTCATTAAATCAAATACTTTACACTTTTCTTCATAGAATAAGTATAACTTCTTTTTAGAACAAGAAGCAGGTGTTGATTGCTAGTCACTCAATGTTGCAAGGATGACAGAAGGCACGTGAGGGCATCAACAAGCAAACAACAATTGGTGAGTACGAAGGGCTTTGGAAGAAGCCGATCAGAGGAGAAATTAAAAGTAATGTGTATACTGCTCTGAATAACACAAGGGAAAAGCTTGTGAGGACAAAGTGTGCGGTAAAAGCTTGTGCTTGGTTTGTGAGGACACTAGTAGAGGTTTTGAGAGTATTTAGTAGTAACTACCCCAGACTTTGCGGGATCAGGATGTTACATGAGTAGTTATAAAATATACAGAGACCAGACATTAGCAGACCAAACCAGAAAATTTCGATCCAAATTAAAAACACATGGAGAGCGATTCTCCACTGGTTAAGTCAACAAAGTTAGAGCATGGTGGGACTTGAAACATACACGTTGGCCGTTGTGTCGAGGATCCTACAAGAGGACGACAATTCATATTTAGATGTGGTTATTGATGATGCTACACATATTTTGCTTAATCAAGTAGGTATCGAAGCCAAGTTCTGCTGAAGGTCAGCCAATAGGGAAAAATACTAGGTGTACCCCAATATTAGCATGTGTACACACATAATTCGTTTGGAAAGACGGCTAGTCAAACTTTTGTTAAATTAATATAGTTCGAGACTTTCCTTTTAAAAAACTTCTTTTTAGAACAATAATACTACGTAATTTTTTCAAATCCGAATAGCTTCTATGACAAATTCTTCTGACGTGTTCGAACATCATTGGATTTACTGCGTCGAAAAACAATGAACAAGTGAATCCAGCGTCAACTTCCTAACCCAAACAACACTTCTGCAGCTGCCATGGCAGTTAGGAGACGAGTTTCAAAAGAACAGTCCAGTGACGCTGCTGCCCTGGACTCCGGCGACCCCAAAAGGAGCCCTAAATTTGACGATGAATCGAGTATTACTCCTTCAAAAGCTCCATTAATGCTCTTATGCACCGCAATTTTTTCGATCCCGTACTTTTACTTGATCTTCTACCACTATCGAATAGAATCAGAGCTCAGGAGATCCATCGTAATTAATGCTATAATTAGCTTGGTCGGATACTTCTTAACCCTGGCTATCATCCCTGTGGCCTCGAAATATGTCATCAGAAGGAACTTATTCGGATATGATATCAACAAGAAGGGCACCCCTGGAGGAACCATTAAAGTGTAAAGTCATTATCTTTTAT